ATCTGGTGATACATTTTTTAAACACTGTTCTTATGAAAACATTTATTACTAAGATCCTCTTGACTTTGAACTTGTTTATAATATCAGTCACACTATCAAGGTTTGTGGAACCCTTGGTGAAGAAACAGGCCCACAGCATTCAGATTGTCCACCGTACAAAGCAGTGGCCCATAGGTAACTCTACACGTATTCATCATTTCTTTCCCTCAAAGCCCACTTGGAGAGTATTACAGAAAAACATTATTGCATTTCTTAATCATTATTGAATTTTGGTCTAATGTTTAGATGATTGAATCACTGCATGTTTATGGGTGTGGTAGTAGGAAAAAGAAAGGATTTTCACAGCCATGCCTAACACACCCCCACTTGGCATCTGATGGTTATCATGGCGACTTGGTGGGTTACTGTTAGATGCCTGATCACTGATACAGTGAAGACATAAACCTAGATCTGCTTCCAGTCTTCTGGCCTGTGGCATAAGGAAATGTGTTATGATTCTTCCCTTTTCTGGACTTTTTGTTTCTTTTTAAAAAAAAATTTGTATTTTCATTACACTTTGATTTATGTCATACTGTGTCTTTTTTGTCATTGTTTTCATGTCAATTTGGTGTTATCCTAGTTGTTTTCTGGTTGTATTTGAGCACTGTTGTATATCTTGTTTACTCGCTGTTATTCCCCCTGTACCAGTCTCCTTTCCTCTAGCTCCCTTCTAGATCCTTCTGTCCACATCTGCTCCCAATCAGTTGATTACTTCATTCATTGTTCTGTTTAGCATATATACTCCTCTGCAGTTAGTACTTGCTGGATTCTCTTCATTTCATAGGGTTATTCCTCCCTGGTGTCTCCTAGTTTTTGGTTCCTGAATTTCTTGTCTATTGGTTCTGGATTATGGCTTCTGTATTTTTACTTCTTCATTTAGGTTTAGATGAAATCGTCCCTGCATTTGGGTCTTCTACAAGTATCCTCTAATCCTGACAAAATGAGCTGCTGTGTTGTGTTATATTTGTCCCTCAAGCAAAATGAATAGATCTATTACTAATAAAACATTCAGACACACACTGGTCCACTTACAATAGAATTGAATCATTAAAAAAGCTTCAATTACATTCATTTTACAGAAGTATTTAGGGGTACCACCTGTGATTTTGTTAAAAACAATTGTTTCCTAACATTTTTTTTACCTCTGAAACAACATGCAAAAATAAAATTTTGGGTTTATCTGAAAGCATTTTACAAATCTTTATGATGGAGCCTTTCAGTATGGAGGGAACAATAACTGTTGCTGAAATTACTCCTCTTGTCACCGGCAGACTACAAAGATCTCTACTCAGCGCTGTCACAATCTGCCTCTGAACATTTTACAATACAACAGATTGCAGATGATATCAACAGTCACCAGTACCGGCCGGTGGCAGAGTCGATAGAGCGAAACCCACATGGGCTCAAATGCCCTCAGCACTACAGTCTTTGGTCTGACTTCGACTGGCCAAACTGTTAATGTGCGTCATTCTCAACCTCCTTCTGCGTACATTTCCTGTCTGTCTTTAGCCCTTGATCTGCAATCCATGAAACACTCTAAATAAATCTTTAAAAAAGTAGATCAAACATTTTATCTGTAAAGTATATCTTAGTGCTGATATGTTGTTTATATTTTTGAAATCCAAAGAGACAATCTCTTGCAAAAAGGAATGTTTAAGGAATAAAAAAAGACTAAATATCAAATAACTTTTTTTAACAGACCTTATTGTACTTAATTTTATTCCAGTGAAAGAGAAGCACAAATTGGAGCATAATTGTGACCTGTTAGATGAAAGATATGTAGCTTTGAGCTAATTAAAATCTGATAGACTTGCAGTCGATTTGTATTCAGTGCCCAGTCTAACCAATCTAATGAGCCGTTTTCACATGTCACCTAATTGGAAAATAGAGTCTAGCTGTGTCTAATATAATCTTAGAATAAACGTAGCTGTTCTGTGAAGCTGAGGAATGTTTATCAGAGAACAAACAGCACCAGTTTCTCCAACCAGACAGGTCAGACATAAAGTTGAGTGGAAGCGTAAATCAGGCTTAGGTTATAATATAATATTGCCAGTTTTGGTCGTCACAGGGACCGCTTTTTAATTCACTATCTGACAATGTATTTTTAATTATAACTTTAAGGTCCAGCTTAAAACTTTCTGTTTTGACAAAGCTTATAGTTAGAGTGGCTATCTCTATGGTTATACTGCTATATGCTTAGGCTGCTGGAGGACATAAGGACAACTTTTCATCTTTCTGCTTCATTCTGTCTCTATTCTTTAGCTCTGCAGTATTTGAGAAGAATAGTCTTTACAAGTGCAGAGCTGATATATATTCCAATAGCTTTATAAAGGCATAGATCATTTTTCAGGGGGAATGAATACAAATTCATTTTTCATTTATTGTTTATTTGAAAGGGGACAGTGTACATTAATAAACATTAAAACAATGTAAATATACCCGAGTTAGCTAAGGAGTGCTAATTTTCATCGGTAGTCCCCCAGCCAGATATTAAAAAGGCAACCTTAAAAATAAACACAAGTATAAAATCACAAGATTAAATTACAATACCAATTACATAAAAACATTATGGTCAAGAAGTAAAATGTATGTAAAATTATTAAAAATATATTGTAAAATTATTTAAATACACACTAAAAACCTTAGTGTCCACAAATTTGGCTCTCTACAAGCCATTTTTTTGCATTCTTTTTGAATGAAGAGAATGACAAAGAGTCTCTGATAGTTTCTGGCACTGTGTTCCATTGTTGAGATGCTCTTACGGAGAAAACAGCCTGACCAAAGGCTGTTTTTCTCTGGGGGAGGATGCAGTCTTCCCTCACTGCCCCTCTGGTTACCCTGACCTCACTGGATCTGAACTGTACAAAGTCACATAGTGGAGGTGGTGCTAAACCATGTCTGATTTTATAAATTAAACAGATGTTTTTGAATTTGATAAGATTGTTCCAGGTAAGTAACTGATATTTCCTCAGAATACTACAATGGTGGTAGTGGTAAGGTTTTTTATCCAGTATTTTTAATGCTTGTTTATATAATGTTTCTAATGGTTTTATTGTAGTAGAGTGAGTATTGGACCAACTTATTATACAATATGTTATATGGGATAAAATCATGGAGAAAAAATATGATTTAGCAGCTTCAGTTGAAAGAAAATCCCTAATGAATCTGAAGTTTGCTAAACTAAACTTAATCCTATTACGAACCTTTTGGATATGAGTTTTGAAATTGAGATGCGAATCTATATGTAAACCTAAATATTTATATTCAGTGACGACCTGTAATCTTTCTCCAGATATTAAAATTTCAGGTTCTATATTTATGAGGTTGTTTTTTGAAAAAAACATGGTAACTGTTTTAGATATGTTCAGTTGCAGACAGGATTGCTCAAGCCAGGTTGACATCAGTGACATGGCCTCAGTTAGTTTTGCGGCAACTTCCTCTGTGGATTTTCCATAAGCCAAGATAGCTGTGTCGTCTGCATACATCAAAGTGTCACAGTTCTTGCACACAGATGGTAAATCATTAATATATAGACTGAAAAGAATTGGTCCTACAATTGGTGACAATTCCTGTCACTCTATGTAAAGTTGATTATCAAAAAATTAAAAACATGTTTTTGATCTTCATCTCATAATTTTGCATTACTCAGTTTTAGTTTAGGTATCCAGCAAAATCAGAGTAACATTTTTTTGTTTTTTTTCTAGATCAGCAAAATGTTAAAATAAACACATTTGTAAAGAGCGACAGATTTTTACACAGGCAGGCAACCTCTATGGCATTTCCTCAAAGCATTCTGACCCAATGCACCCTGAGCTCAACTCAAAGCAAAGAGTTAATAGAGATCTTCCCATTAATCAAGATCCCCTTCTACCAAACCGATACTCATAACGTCCCAAATATAATCACAAATAGAGGTGGGCTGGGGAGGGTTATTTGGCCTGAACTTCACCTCTACCCTGTTGAGTTCCCTCAGTCTCCCTGCTGGGTGATTGGTTTTGACTGGTCAGCGGGCTGTGCACCGCCTGCTTAGCACAAACCCCCAATGTTGGCAGAACCAGACACACGTGGGCCAGTCACACCATAGCAGAGACGAGTCAAGAAGACAAATAGCAAAGTCGGCGGGAGAAAAAAAAAAGCAAAAAGCTGGATGAGAAGCAATTTTGCCAAAAAGGACAGGAAGGAGAAAGATAAGGTTGGGATTTGTTGAGAGGGATAGTAAGTGTGTTGAGGAAGGTAGAGGAGATAAGCATAGCGAAATACTCTTCAGCAGGAGGAGAAGAAAGCCGGGGGCAGGCGAGCTGGCAGAAGGAAGCCCCTGCGCTCACGTGGCGAGATGCAACCGAATCAGACAGCCGTCCGCGCTTATTACAAGAAATGGAACAATAGCAAATTAGGTGCATTACTGCAGCTCCTCTCCCCATAGTCCACATCACATTAGGCCAAAGGAATTACCATCAGTTCAAATGCAAACCTAGTCAAATATGAACAGAAAAATCTAATGTTTTGTTTTTAGAAAATACTATGTGTCAGAACTTTGCACTAGGTGCAATGTACTAAAGCTTTGTTCCTTTTTTAACATTGTCCCCTTATGATGTACTTAAAATTCTAATATTTCCATTTATTTCAATCAAGAGTTATTGTAAAAAATATGAATACAAAAAACATAGAGAAAGAAATACACTATATTGCCAAAAGTATTTGCTCACCCATCCAAATTATTGGAATCAGGTGTTCCAATCACTTCCATGGCCACAGGTGTATAAATTCAAGCACCTAGGCATGCAGACTGTTTTTACAAACATTTGTGAAAGAATGGGTCGCTCTCAGGAGCTCAGTGAATCCCAGCGTGGAACTGTGATAGGATGCCACCTGTGCAACAAATCCAGTCGTGAAATTTCCTCGCTCCTAAATATTCCACAGTCAACTGTCAGCTGTATTATAAGAAAATGGAAGTGTTTGGGAACGACAGCAACTCAGCCACGAAGTGGTAGGCCACGTAAACTGACGGAGCGGGGTCAGCGGATGCTGACGCGCATAGTGCGAAGAGGTCGCCAACTTTCTGCAGAGTCAATCACTACAGACCTCCAAACTTCATGTGGCCTTCAGATTAGCTCAAGAACAGTGCGCAGAGAGCTTCATGGAATGGGTTTCCATGGTCGAGCAGCTGCATCCAAGCCATACATCACCAAGTGCAATGCAAAGCGTCGGATGCGGTGGTGTAAAGCACGCCGCCACTGGACTCTAGAGCAGTGGAGACGCGTTCTCTGGAGTGACGAATCGCGCTTCTCCATCTGGCAATCTGATGGACGGGTCTGGGTTTGGCGGTTGCCAGGAGAACGGTACTTGTCTGACTGCATTGTGCCAAGTGTAAAGTTTGGTGGAGGGGGGATTATGGTGTGGGGTTGTTTTTCAGGAGCTGGGCTTGGCCCCTTAGTTCCAGTGAAAGGAACTCTGAATGCTTCAGCATACCAAGACATTTTGGACAATTCCATGCTCCCAACTTTGTGGGAACAGTTTGGAGCTGGCCCCTTCCTCTTCCAACATGACTGTGCACCAGTGCACAAAGCAAGGTCCATAAAGACATGGATGACACAGTCTGGTGTGGATGAACTTGACTGGCCTGCACAGAGTCCTGACCTCAACCCGATAGAACACCTTTGGGATGAATTAGAGCGGAGACTGAGAGCCAGGCCTTCTCGTCCAACATCAGTGTGCGACCTCACAAATGCGCTTCTGGAAGAATGGTCAAAAATTCCCATAAACACACTCCTAAACCTTGTGGACAGCCTTCCCAGAAGAGTTGAAGCTGTTCTAGCTGCAAAGGGTGGACCGACGTCATATTGAACCCTATGGATTAGGAACGGGATGTCACTTAAGCTCATATGTGAGTCAAGGCAGGTGAGCAAATACTTTTGGCAATATAGTGTATGAATAGAGGACAGATAGATAGATGGACATGGAATAAAGTTCTAAAATACAATTTTTTTCCATACTGGATATCCTTTCTTCATACCTATAAAAAAAAAAAAAATTCAACAAAACTTTATTAAATCATCCTGTATTTTAAAAATGCTAAACAATAATAATAAAAAAACTCTTCCGCTGTATGGGAAGGTGACGTCTGTCTCCACTGAATACCATCTGGGATGACACAAAACGCAGAAGGCACTGAACACCACGTGCTGACACATATGTTAGATTGACAACTTCTATGAACACACAGACGATTAAACATGTTAGGAGGAAAAACTGTGGAAACAAAGTCATGGAAAGGTGGACTTACGATGGCTGGCATGTTCTAGTGAGACTTTTTTATCTGTTTGAACGAGAGAAAACAAAAACAAGAACAAATCGTAAAGAAAAGAAAAATAATAAAAATGGATGGACAAGTTATTCACATGAAAGACATAATAAATCAGTTTAAAATAAAAGATAAATTCTGTCCACTGATAAGATTGAAATGATGAAAATGCAGTTTATGAGCAACAAAATAATAATTAATGATGATTTTAAAACAAGCAAGGACACTTGTATGTTTGTGCTACAAGTAGGAGGCAATATAGATCTAAGCAGGGCATACTCCTCCCCCCCACAGGGTGTCTTATAACCTTCTTCCAGAAAAAACCCAACATCTGACCAATGGGAGCAGTTATTTCCAACGTGAATCATAACTGAGCAGTTGCAAGAATATCAAAGCCATCTTTCAGGATTGTGTCACTTAGCAGATCTCAAATCAAATAACATTTCCTCCGTAGCGTCATCAAAGCACCAAATGGTTTCCTGGAGTTCGTCTTTCGTCCAATAGCAATTAGAGTCTAGCAGGGATGTAATGAACATGACGGGCGGAGATGTCTCAGAGCTTTGTACATTTATGACAAGTGGGAGCAGTGGGATTGAGCTCCCCTGATTTTATCGCGTGAATTTCATCAGGGCGGCTTGTGAGTGCAGAATAATAATTTAAACATGCAGGGGAAATAAAGATAGCACCTTCAGTCTGCCATGTTATGCATGTTCAGATCTGGAGTCATGATTCTGGAGAACGTGTTGGTTCCTTTAAATTAAAAAAACAAACAAAAAAAAAAAAACACCTGAGAGTCTTTCTTCCTGATTTCCTCCTGAGAACATGGACAAGCCAGTGTGTTTATCTGATCTGTAAACTGTGAAGATGCCTCCTTCTGTATTCATGTTTGTCTGACAGATTCGCAGCAGAGAGCTGCTCTGAGGGTGCATATGCTCCTGCAAAATCAATAATGTTCATAAGTTTAGAAAAGTTTCCTGTTGGCTTACGTTTATCATTTTGTCACTTGCATGTCTTTGAATTGAATTCCTCTCTGTCTCTTTGGTTGCTTTAATTTGAATGCCCTGTCAGCTGGATTCTTCCCAGCTCATCACGAGCAGCACATCGGGTGTCCAAACTAGTCTGACTCACTCTCATATGCTCTCCTCCGCGCTAATTTTTCAGCTCGGCCGTGTCATGCTCCCTTCCCACTCGATCCGCTCTTTTAGCCTGCACTTGCACTGGCTTTCCTTTTACTCTACCCCTATTTTTGAGCTTTTTAGATCTGGAGCGGTTGCCTTCTCTCTTTGCAAAGCTAACATTTTCCTTATGAATCATCTGTCTGACTTGCTTTCATCTCTCGACACATTCGAGCTTCAGTGGCCTAACACCCCTGGAATACTGCTTTTTACAAAAAGGAAGCTACGAAATGCACTATACCTCACAAAACACTGAACTAAGAGCAAAGAAATCACTGCAGGCAAGATTTTTATAGTTATCATATGAACAGCCACCTGAAGCATCAAACATGCTCTCAGGAAATGGACACCCATGGCTCTGACTGAAATAGTGTTTCAAGTACAGCAGGTGAAAAAAGTATGAAACCTACCACAAACTTTTAATATTATATTTTTGAAGGTGCAAATGACATCAATATCTACCCAGATCTCCGTAAAAATCCATTCACTCCTCACATGTAAATAAATAGAACTGTATTTGTCCATGGATTAGATTTTGTGCAATAAAATTAAATGAAAAGAAATACTGAAGAAGTGGAGGGGCAAAAGGGACAAGACATTTATAACACCAGCGGAAATCTTTCAGGAAATAGAGAGCAATTCTGCCACCTCTTGCAAATTAATATTAGCTGTTTCAGTCCCAGTTTATGGATTAAAAATGTTTTTTTTTTTTTTTTTTAAACAAATGCGTCACATAAGAAATGAGCCACGGTGAGAGAGAAAAAACCAATAAGCTCCCTCAAGACATTCAAAACCTTTTTGATGTTATACATGCTGATGATATTGGGGACAGAGAAGTTGTACTTTATCAAAGGTTAAAGATACTGAAATTTCAGGGCTATAATTGGTTTATGTAAAGAACATTATTGTAACTTAAACCAGCAACTACGAGGTGCCCCCTGCCGGATTTTAGACAAAGTTAAGAATTATCAGAAGATTTGTCCAAGAGCATGTCTGTGATTAAAACACTCAACTGCCATGGCCTGCTCACTAAGAAAGATTCCACTGCTGAAGAAACAAAAAGCAAGGTTAAGTTGGCTTAGCATTTGGATAAGTCTGTAGAATTACTTATAATGTGGTGAGATAGAATAAAAAAAACATCTTTCTGAAGATCATTATAAGAAGTCAAATGGAACCTTAAATCCCCATGCCATCAGCATGGAGGTTGTCCACTCTGGGTTCTTTAGCAAGGCCCTTAACCCCTGATTGCTTCCTGTGCGCCGCACAATGGCAGCCCACTGCTCCCCAAGGGGATGGGTCAAAATGCAAATCGGTGCTTTCATATAAAGCATTAAACAAATTTAGTTAAACACTTTTATTAAAGATAATGCTTTTTATAGGCTTCTTTGGTTTAAAGTCAGAATATCCTTAAATCTGTTCTTGGTTTATCAAAGATGTCATGAGAAGATGCCTGGAAATTGACCCAAAAACTGTTATTTTTTCCACTATGGTTTATGTTATTTAAAAAACAAAACATGAAAGTTTAAAAGGAGAAATAGTAGCTTACTTCTTGCACAAAGTCCCTCAGTGCAGTTTTTGCTCTCCATCATGCTTCCGCTACAGTGCTTCCCTCCATTTCTGGGTAGTGGATCTTGGCACTCGCGACTGCGCCAGTGGGTGCACTCTGTCCCACAGGCGGACCACTTTGCCCACTGGGTCCAGCCTCCGTCCACTGGAGGGAAAACAGAGTTGAGTCATTTTACAACCTAATGTTTCCATTAGTCCAGGTAGAGTCAGATTGGGCAGGATATTCTCTTGTTGTCTAATTTAATGGCTGTAAGTGTTCTTTTTAAAAAAAAGTTTGTTATTTTGGAGTCTAGCTAACATATTACACAATCCAGTTATGAAATCTAATTTTTCTAATCTTAAATTTGGATTTTCAAACCCTTTTACACATGTATGTACCCTTTATGCTATCTTCTTTCTTTATTTTACTGATGTTTTTTTTTTTTTGGAACTAATATTGCATCCTATGCAGAAAAAGCTCTAATGTTAAGCACAAAATAACTGAAAGTAATGCCAACATGCATGAAGAACTGCTTTTTCAGAGGGTAGCATAAGACAAAAGCTATATCAAAATATCGATTGTACTACTTACTTATTCTAATCTTATTACAACAAAATCACGCTGCTAAGATTTCTATTATGGAAGAATTATGTTATTATATCAATATCTAAATATTTCACATTTAAATGTTCCTTTTATTTTTAGTTATTCAAACTATTCACCAAAATATTAAGCAGCAGTTATATTACTCAATCAACTCTGCGTAACTTTTAGCCACTACGGCTGCCGGACCTGTAACTCTGAGCTACATAAGTCATTCTGTTATGGATCAGAACCCCTCAAGTAACACAAACATGTTTTTGAGAACAGCAGGCTGCATAGAGCTCAAATATGTGCCAAGTGATTTATTCTGACCTGAAAGGCTAATAATTTTGTCAAAAGTGATGCAATGCTACTTTAAATATAGATGTATAGATATAACTATAAAAATTGATTAATTAACATGTAGAAATTATAAGACAACTTATTCCATCACTACATTTCAAAACTTGGTAATTTTGTTTTTAATGAAGCCCATTATGTTAAAATCATTTCGAACTGTTTAAAGCTACATGTTTAATTCCTCCTGGCCAGTAAGTGTTACACTAACGGTTCCCATTCTCCTTCTATACTGTTTGCAGCCGGGTTGCCACATCAGCAAACCAAACCTTTTCTGGTGGGCCCCACATACAGTTCTAAATGAGCAAACCCAGTTAGATTAAAATATCCTTCCTTTACAGAAAACATGTTTAAAATACTTTTAGGCAACTGAATTATCTTTGGCTCTCAACAAATTTTAAGATAAATGGAAATATTAAATTTTCCATGTTTCTAAGCCACGAAAATAGGGAATCAATCTGGTGCTTTTAATGCAAAACATAAATAAATGTAGCTTTTTAAAAACAAAAATCAGCGGAAAACACATCAGAGAAAACGATGGAAACCCAGTTTTTCCTTCTTTACTAAAATGCTTTTAAAAGTTAAGTAAAAACCATGATCATAAAGCAAAGTAACGATGATCATAATGGTGAATGACTGTATTCCTTCTCGCAGTTACATGATTAAATATATATAATATATTTCGTAAAGAAACCTTAAGTTTTAGTGCTACAGAATAAAGAAAGAGTACAGTAAACAAATTTAGCATGTAATAGCTTTGAGAGGTGTCTTCTTTACCTGGGCACAGAGTGGTGCAAGTTACTCTCTGTACCGACAGGCCCTCACAGAAGATTCCTCCATTCAGAGGGGCTGGATTGGTGCAGCTACGTGTTCGGCGTTGCCAGCCGGGCCCACATGGAACATTACACTCTGACCATTCAGTCCAAGAAGACCAGCCTCCGCTGACTAATACAGTGACACACAAACAGCAAAACCTTTAAGCTTTCCTGCCCTAAGTTGACTCGCTTAGTGAGAAAGGAGACATTACAACATAAAAATCTAGATTGCAGTTCATGAGCACACTTAGAGACAAAGACCCTAATTTCTGTAGACTTGCCTCGTCTGAAATTGTTTGGCCTAAAAGGCCATTGTAAGCCTTAAAATACCATCAGAACAATGACGGTTTCCTACTTCGGATGTATGAAGGTGGAAGCATCATAATTTGTGTGATTTTGCACACAAAGACATGGACATCACTTAGAACCTATGAACCAAGTCATAATGCTGATGCCCCCAAATACTCGTGCGGAGATATGTCTGCGATTGCCTGACAGATGTGCATAAAGCAACTTTTTACCATGGCGTACATGGTGTCTCACTGAACTGTGGGAGAACAACTGCTCAATGGGAACATGAATTTACAACAAAATACTTTAAATGTGACACGGCTGACAAGGATCCCCAGGCTATAGCTGGCAGCAACAGACTGCTCTGAGCAGCCAGTCCCAGGGACCCCCAGCATCTCAGCTGCTCTCTCTGCCTCACTGACAGGTGTGTGGTAGGGAAAGAAATGGAGCAAGGCATCAATCTAGACTTTGTTTCTTTGATTTTATAAAGAAGCTAGAAGGCAAACTTGTCCGATGACGCCATGGCATGAATACATTTCTCATGAGACAAAGGTATGCTTCAACTAGGAAGGCTAAAATGTGACACCACACAGCTCACTGTATGCACACAGACTCTGCCAGTTTGTGGGGACATTTATATAGTAATTCTACCAAATACAGTAAGTTGAATGTTGAATTTGGAGACTGAAAAAATCTCTTATTAGCAACTAGTGTGACCTAATGTAAAAAAAAAAAAATGCATCTTTTATATAATATTTGTAGATATATTATCTTATATTTAATAACATTACATATAAAAGTTTTAGGGCACTGCTAAAGTAAGGAAAACAGAAATGATTATGACAACAAAATGACCCTGAATCCTCAGCTCCACATTCTAGTTTTTGGGTGAACGATCATGAGTGACATGAGAATCAATGAATTAGTAAAAAGAAATTGTGCTGTTTAAGTTACCATAAACAATGAGAGTGGCTGTGCTGCTCCGCCTCCTGGCCACCACGTTTCTTGCCACACATGTGTAGTTTGCGGTGTCTGAGAGCCGGGCCTGTTTGATGATCAGGTTGTGATCGATTGTGATCAGGAAATTGGAATCCTGTGATGGATCGATGATGTCCTCATTCTTCAGCCAGTCCACCTTTAAAGGATGCGGGGGAATAAATTCACAGATTGTTGAAGTGAGAAAAAACGGATTAGGAATCTGGAAAAAAAGTAATTCCTTAACATTTAATAGAAAACAAAAGATTTATTTATTTTCCTATAATACTTTTAACTGAAGGTCCTTGAAATAAAAACTGTAAAAATCAGTAGGTGTTTATGCAGAAGCATGACTCAGACCTGCTCAGTAAACAAAACAAACCAGCAGGGTATTAAGGTGATGATCAAACACTTCTAAAACTTTATCATTCTGTCTAAAAAAAAAAACCAAAACCTGTTACTGTATGTTAATTTTTTAAATTCCGGCTTTAGGACCTAATTTGACAAAATAACTTATTTCCATTCACTGGTGAATCTCAGTAAATCTGAATTTCAATTAAATAATTTTTTAAACTAAGCTAGTCAGAAAGGGGAAGTTATAAGGCTTAATATACAAATATTTTTTTATATGTATTTTTTTTTTTTACAGAATACAGCAAAAAGCTGAATTCAGTTTCTTAGAGATTAAGAACAATGCAAAGGACCAACAAAAAAGGATTTTTGATGGAGAAATGCCAGCCTTTTAAAAGTTTAGGTCAGGTGAGTTCGCTGCACACTAAAGCACAGTGGAATCATATAATTTAATCAGCATAAAGCAATAAAATAAAACAAAAACTGAAATAAAAAAGAGAGGGGAAGCTCTCCTAAATATTCTGTGCTTATTTTGGAATTCAGAAAACACAGCAAACAAACACTAGGAAAGGACTTGGCAACAACTTTTTTAGGCCCTAGTTGCTTAAAGTTGTTCCTCATGAGAATGCAATAATAAATAGAAGAAATAAAAGCTTTAAAAATATCAATATGGTTGTGATTAAAATATGTAAAAAAAATCTTGTTTGGGTTTAAGATGCTGAAAATAGTAACATTTTGACAGAGAATTAACTAAGTTATTATTTTAGGTCTTTCCACCCAAGTTTCAAGTGAAGTCTGGAGTTAGGAAAGTCAAGATTAAAGGGAATGCAGGCAAAGGTATGCTGAGGACTAAATACTAAACGCAGTTCTAATGCTAACATTAAGCCCGCATTGGTTTCTTTATTGCCTTGATTCATAACTGTTATGTTATGAAGTTTGATGTTTGTGGTTTTCTATTCCCTACACAATTTACAACTTCAAACAAACTTCTTTTTGATTGAAATCACATAACATTTTGATCTCAAGTCACAGAGAACTCACCAGCAATCATGGGAAAGCCCAAACAGTCTTTTTATGTTTTAATCAAGTGTAAAATAATTAAATCTGATTTGATCAAGTCACATGACTGAAGTCCGAAGCTCTGCTTTTTGACTGTATTACAGTTTGCTCAGATAAACATGGCTTATTTTACTCTTCATGTGTTTTATTTCAAATAGAAAATGTACTTTACTCTTTATGTTTGTTTTTCACAATAAACATAGCTTTTATTATAAAGTCAGAGAAGCCAGAAATAAAAACATGACACAGTGTTAATTTTGAGCATCGTCCCTAAAGAAACAGCATATACGCCATCATGTATCTGTGTAAACCATTTATCTTTTTATCAACTGTGTAAAACTGTTAGTCGGTGTCAGTCATGCGGTATAAATAAATATAAATAATTTGTCAGCAGTACTAAAAGAACAACTGCCCAAAAGATGCATGGCAGCCAAATGAACTAGTCAAAACAATGGTAGTGATGAGAGGAACATCTACCTCTGCAGCAGGCATGCCCTCCGGGGGCCGACACTGCAGCAACACCTCCTGCTCCAGCTGCACTTCCCTCCCAAGGGGCTCCTGCTCGAAGTTCTTCCTCAGGTCTACAGGGGGCGATACATGCATTGTGACTGACATGATGCCTATCTAGGTAATACTGTCTGACACACAAACACACTTATTTGCTTTGCATAGCCTCTCTCACTGCATCACATTTTCTCACTCCATACTCTTATAAACATGCAACATGTCAATCTTACCACCTCACATATTTCCACAGGGGACCACCATGGGATGCTACAGCCAATTTGTTTGCACGTATGCTTAAGCTGACACATACCGCAGGCAGAAAGTCTGAAATGTCACCTTTATCTCTGTATATCTCACACAAACACTCATAGCCTTGATACTGACATGCGATGCGAACGTAGGCCCGGTTGCTCTTGGTGGTGCCAGCTGAGCTCCATGCCACACACTGGCACCAGTAATCCTCCAGTCCAAACAGCTCCTCCACCTGTGTCCTGGATACGGAGATGTCCACCTCCCTCACTACCAGACCTGCACGGAGAGGACGGAGGTGGAGGGAGAAAAACCAGTGAGGCAAAAATTTCACAGTGCATTTAAATTATGCAATGGCTGAATGCCAGAAGCAGTTTCCATGCACATTAAATCCTAAAGGACCTAATGGATTATATAGCTGGAAATGATGTTGGTAATTAAATACGATGTTTATCTCTGTATAATACAAGGTGACATTACTGAGTGCGTAACTGGGTTTACAGTTCTTTTTTGTAAGGATACCTGTGACTTGGTCCAGGCTTTCTCTGGTGACATGATCGTTCTGATTGACCCACTCCCCGTTACATTTAAAGTAGATCTGGGTAGCCGGCGATGCCCGGCAGCGCAGCTGGACTGGCCGATTCTTTACAATGAAGGCATCTTCTGGTTCTAGCAGGAACTCTGGGAGGGGCTCCGCTGGAGCCGACGGGTAGGAATCAGGGAGAACCTCGGATTCGCTGTAGTCGCTGCTCTCTGGAAAAACACACAACGCAGATGTAATAAGGATAACTGTCCTTAAGAGTTAATATCCTGCAGATGGACTACAAAAAATGGGGGGGAAAAAAATAACATAACATGAAAAAGTAAATCTGGACATAGTAAATGTGCAGCACCTTATCTTGTGCATTTCAGTCCCACTTCAGGGTGTTAGGTGTATTTTGTGAAGCCATTTAAGGTGTTGACAGTGTGCACCATAAGTGGTGACATTTTTGTTTCCACATATCGACACTAATCTGCTCAAGAGAGGCCCTCCTGCTTTCGTCTCTGTGGAAGAGTCCGCACTTCTGGGCTGAAGAGCAGAGCTGCTGACCTTTCACATATAGGTCCCGTTGATCGCACATTATCTCCTGACATTTCTGAGGTGACACATCACTCCAGGCAGCACTGCCAAGACTCTTCTCGTGACAAAGACAGAGATTTCCTGACCTCTTGAGCCAGACTTTTTCACCCTTATAAAGATAGGTAGATCCCACCTTTTGAAGGTTGCTGGGGTTTATTATAAGAAAATCCACTTAACTCTGAACTTGGCCAACCAAGTCATGTTATTAAGAAAGGTTTTGCCCTGATATTAACCTGCAGTTTTAAAACAAAGAAACACAAATAAGTTCTATTTCATCCCTACTGACCGCCAGAGGCGGTGCTTCAAGCACTGAATGATCATTCATGCGCATGCGCAGGTCGAGTATTAATGACAACAAAGTCAGCTGTGACCTGCCGGGGACCCACGTGACTCTATATAGTCACGTGGCACCCGGCAATCAATCCCTTTTGTTCTTCTCGCGCGCAGGTGTGTTGAGTACAGGAGTGTGGTCGTGTGAAGCTGGTTGCTTCTGTGTATACCACTAGTTTCCTGGCTGCTTGTTGCTGGTAGCCCCGTGACCGGGTTTGGTCGGAGCTGGGGGTAAGTCTCGCCCTCCAGGGGCTGCACAAGCTGCTTTCTCCTTACCAGATCTGCGGTGACTGGTAAGTTTTCGTTCTTTTCTCAGCAGTAGTTTACTGTTCGCTTTGATTTGCCACGTTGATTTTGTGGCTCTTTTGACTCACGGTAGCGTTTCTGCTCGCGCTGAGTTGTTTTCAGTTTGTTTGCCTAAGCCCACCAGTAGCGTTTCTGCTCGCGTTGGGTTCTTCTATAGTTTGTTTATCTACACTCACCAGTGGCGTTTCTGCTCGCGCTGAGTTGTTTTCAGTTTGTTTGCCTAAGCCCACCAGTAGCGTTTCTGCTCGCGTTGGGTTCTTCTATAGTTTGTTTATCTACACTCACCAGTGGCGTTTCTGCTCGCGCTGAGTTGTTTTCAGTTTGTTTGCCTAAGCCCACCAGTAGCGTTTCTGCCCGCGTTGGGTTCTTCTATAGTTTGTTTATCTACACTCACCAGTGGCGTTTCTGCTCGCGCTGAGTTGTTTTCAGTTTGTTTGCATAAGCCCACCAGTAGCATTTCTGCTCGCGTTGGGTTCTTCTATAGTTTGTTTGCCTAAACTCACCAGTGGCGTCTCTGCTCGTGCTGAGTTCATCTTTAGTTAATAATCGAGTCGCCAGTAGCGTTTCCTGCTCGTGTTGACTTGTCCTTGGTAGCAGGCTGATCACGCCTTTCAGCAGTATGATGCTGGATAATTTATGTTGCTCGACCTGTCTGGCTCCACTTCAGCCGGATGACGGGCATGACTTGTGTCCCTCCTGCCTCGGTGTGGAACATCTCCGGGAGGCGCTGTCAGATGACGCTTGCCCCAACTGTCGCGTCATGCCCCGGTCGGTCAGACTGGATCGGTTGGCTGCACTGGAGCAGCCTACCGACTGGGCGGGCGCTTCGCCGCGTGCTCGTTTGCCGATGGAGAAAGCGGTGTGCAAACGATCTACTGTGGCTGCACCTTCGGTACAGACGAAGCGTGCTAGACGGACCGATGCAGGGAGGTTGTCCACCAGAGTGGATCATCTCACTACTGAGCTGGCCCAAATGAAAGCCCTCCTCCAGTCCTTTCAGACTGCTGGTGATCGTGGCACGGCTCTCCCTACCGAGCAGGATGAAACGTCAGTCAATGATGACGATGCGGTTTCTGTGGCGGCCTCTGGCACCCATTTCTGTGAGGACCTTCCGGAGCTGGGCTCCGGGGCCTCCGGGTCGGACTCCATTGCCTCCCAGGAGGATGCGGGGGAGTCTGTGACATCCGCTATTCGAACGGCTCTTGCCCGTTTACAGATTAGTGTTCCTCAGGCCCAGCCTGCGGCTTCCAGCGCCTTCTTTAGGCGCAGTAGGTCAGAGACTGCCTTTGTGGTTCCTCCCTCTGCGGAGTATGTGCGGGAACTGCATGCTTGCTGGTCAGACACCAAGGCGTTTTCACGTCTGACGACGGATGGCAGGGTCCTGGCAGCTATGCAGGAGGCACCCAAGGTTGGCTTGGGGCAGATGCCAGCGGTGGAACCGGGCATTGCCTCTCTTATAATCCCGCCTGATGAGGCCTTGCGGCCCAATGCCCGTTGTCCGCGTCCTCAGTGCCGTATTACCGACGACCTTCTCTGTAAGGCCTATGACTCTGGGGCCCGCATGGGCCGGATTGGGAACTCTCTCTCCCATCTTATGCTGGCCCTGTCTTCCTCCTTGGAATCTGTTCCGCTGGATCATGCCACGCAAGGCCTGGTTGATGCATCTCTGCAGGCCTTTGCTCTTATGACGAGGGAACTTGGACGCACACTCTCCACACTGGTTCATGCTCGCCGCCAGGTCTGGTTGGCGCAGTCACCACTAACTGAGCCTTGTAGGAGGACCCTCCGTGCCCTGCCTGTGGTCCCGGGGGAGCTTTTTGGTTCAGCGGCACTGGACGCCTTGGACCGTACGGCTCAGGCCTCTAGAACGAGGCAACAGCTGGCAGGGCTTCACAGACGTGATCGCCAGCCAGTAAGCACCTGGGCAGCTGCAGGTCCTTCACGGAGGTCCTTAGTGCCTTCTCCTTCTCCCACTGAGCCCCAGGGTCTGTTACCAGGTCAGAGATCGGTCCAGGGACCTGCTCTAGATCGGAGGAACAGAGCTCGAGACCAGGCTGGGACGAGGTCCTTTCATCCCTTTCGAGCCGCGCAGTCTGGCCGGCGTCCTCCCGGGCCTTCGAAGGGCCGGGGGACCCGCAGATGATGCCTTAGGGCCGGCGGTCGGTTATTTTTCCCCGGGACAGCTCGGCTTCTGGGCTGCCCACACCCCGGACTTGTGGGTGTTGTCCACCCTTTCCCGGGGGTACCGTCTTCAATTCCGCCGCCGGCCACCTATCCCTGGCAGGGTCAGGATGACTGTGATCCACGACCCGGTGAAGGCACAGGCACTGAACCGAGAAATCTGCACCTTGCTGGCCAAGGGTGCTATAGTGCCTGTGGACCCCCTGCTGGATCCAGGGGGCTTTTATTCCACGTATTTTCTGGTTCCGAAGAAGACCGGGGGCCTGCGTCCAGTCTTGGACCTCAGGGGCCTGAATGTGTACTTGAAGGCCATGCCCTTTCATATGCTGACCACCAGGGAAGTGTTGCAGGCGATTTCCCCGGGCGATTGGTTCACTTCCATAGATCTCAGGGATGCTTATTTTCACGTTCCGATCGCTCCGCCCCATTGGCGGTTTCTTCGTTTTGCTTTTCAAGGGAGACATTTCCAGTTCAGGGTCCTCCCGTTCGGACTTTCACTGTCCCCCAGGGTGTTCACCCGATGTGTTGCAGCGGCTCTCTCTCCTCTGCAGGCACAGGGATTGAGGATCCTCCCATATCTGGACGACTGGCTCATTTGTGCTGCGACGTGGGACCAGGCGGTTCGAGATACTCGGTTAGTGCTCCATCATGTGGGATGCTTGGGCTTGCAGGTGAACATGGAGAAAAGCAGTCTGACTCCCTCACAGGAGACTGTCTTCCTTGGCATTGCCATGGATTCCATCTCAATGACTGCTTGCCCGTCACCCCAGCGGGTGGACAGTATATTGAGCGTGCTCCCGGAATTCAGGCGCGGCATGGCGCTGCCTCTTGTGCGGTATCTTCGACTCTTGGGCATGCTTACAGCTGCGTCCGCCGTAGTGCCCTTGGGGCTGCTGTCATTGCGGCTCCTCCAGATGTGGTTGAACAGCTTGAATCTGGATCCCACACGGAACATTCATCGTCTCCGAAGACTTCGGGTGGGGCCTCAGGGTCTTCAGTCTCTGTCCCAATGGAGGGTGAGGTTGTTTATGACCACAGGGGTCCCGCTCGGTTCCCTCCCGTGTCGTCGGGAAGTTGTGTTTACAGATGCATCCTCCACGGGCTGGGGTGCAACCTGGCGGGGTCAAATGGCACAGGGGACATGGTCCCAGCGGCAGGGCAGGGAACACATCAATGTCCTGGAGTTACAGGCTGTACTTCTGGCTCTTCAGAGCTTTCTTCCAGGCTTGCAGGGGAAGCACGTGCTGGTGAGGTCAGACAACACCACAGTGGTCTTTCACATCAACCACCAGGGGGGAACGAGGTCAAGGAAACTGTTGTGCTTGACTCGACGGCTTCTGACCTGGGCAGCTCCACGCATAGCCAGCCTCAGAGCAGCCTACATCCCAGGGCCGGAGAACGTGCCAGCAGATTTTCTATCCCGTCAGAAGCCGCTTCCAGGGGAGTGGAAGCTTCACCAAGAGGTGGTGGAGTGCATCTGGAAGGTCTTTGGCAGGGCGGACGTGGACCTCTTTGCCTCAAGGGACGCATTTCACTGTCCCCTTTGGTTCTCGTTGGACAACAGCAGCCCTCTGGGCCACGATGCTCTGGCACACGACTGGCCCCGGACCCTCCTTTATGCCTTTCCGCCATTCAGCCTACTTTTTCAGACTCTCCTCAGGGTACGTCAGGAGGGGCACAGGGTCCTGCTGGTGGCCCCCTACTGGCCAGCGAGGACTTGGTTTCCTCTACTGTGCGAGCTCAGCTCCGGCTCGCCAATGCGTCTCCCCTCCAGGAGATATCTTCTTTCCCAGATGGGGGGTCAGATCTTGCACCC